CACCTAATGTACAGTAGAGCGACAGCCATATACCCGCTTTTTTTTCTTTAACCGGCAAAAAATACTAATATAATAATATAATATAACACTTAATATACGACAGCAGCGTCGACGGAAAAATATGACGTGAACAGACGAAAAGTGAGATAGCGTCTATGCGCAGTTGGCGCCGTAGTATCACGTAATAATAATATTGTACAGGTACAGTATTATAGTATTACACAAAACATATTATAATGTAGTATAATGGAAAGGAAAGGGACCTCTGATAAATACTCGGAATCGAAMACAAAAGAAATAGTAATGTTATATTAGTGGGTTTTTTTTTATCTACGAGAAGAATCTTTATATTTTATTGTATACATGTGTTTCCCAAGAAGATGCGGAATGCGAGTTCCATGAGACCCTTGACTTGTATATCTCCATTGTCATCATACGCATAAATATGCTGTACAGGCATTTATTRTACTTAAACTCGTACCGCTTCGTTTTAGATTGCAATAGCCAATGATATCGCAGCATTCGCAGCTCTGCTCCCGGAATCATTCTAGATTGCTTCTTCGTCTCGCCGTCGTCATGCATTCCGATAATAATTTTATTTCAGTATTTGGTTATGACTTGTTGACTTCGTACCTATAGTCCGCGCAACGAAAACTGACCGGTGGGCGGTGGCTGGTGCGACTCTAGTGGCAATTGTCAATAAGTGATTATTAAGCTAATTGCCGCGTTATTTTAAAATTATTCGTTCACATGGTATATATTAATTAATTATTATACCAATCATGAGAGAAAATGGTTTAAAAAATTATCAGTTTAAAACATAATTTCAATACGTGATATAATAATATATATTATACAGTTATACAGCTAAAACTGGTTTTCAACATCGCATAACAAACACACCGCGTGCGCCTATTGTATAACATCGCAGCGGCGACGCGTAGTTTGAGAANGCCTTTGATATTTTAAATAGCCGAACTCAATTTTCTATCAATCCATATAATAAACCTATATCAATTGATACAGTAAATACTTATAGACAATTTACAATTGAATTTACCCAATATGTAGAAGGTCTTAAGTTTGTTGAATATAGAAATGAACAAAGAATTGTCACAAAAGTTCTTAATTCAAATAGGAAGACTGGATTTATTGGTATGATTATAGGCCTGAAAAATGCAATTAGTTTGTTCGAGTTCATCATAAAAAAAAGTTATATGACATATATACTAACCTACAAATTATAATTACATTGGAAGGTAATTGCTTAATATTAATATACAAATTATTTTACCGAAGGTTGATTAAATTAGAATTGATTATAAATGATATCGTGTTTTGAATGTTGGCTGGTTAGGCCAAAAAAGGGCTTCGGCGAGAATGGATGGTACTCCTGCTTCCCGTTTTTCTCTCTCAAATTGGCGGCATTCTGTTATGATATGCTTGATTGTGAGCTGTGTGAACTTTTCTTGAAATTTGATGAAATATAAAAACTCAAAGTTTTTGTTTAATTAATTCGTCATTTCATAAAACATAGGCATTATCAATAAATACACTGACATAACTTTTGGATAGTTTTGTATTATTATACACGACGTATTAAACAGACGTGTATGGCCATGCGTTCGACATCAAGGTAGTCGCGTTCGACATCGAGGTAGTCGCGATAACGCACAAGTACCTAATAATAGTTATAATAACTCACCTAACATAATCTACGACCAGTGACCACTACAAAAATTGCAAAAAGCCCCGAACAACCCGAACATGCCCTTTTTAGATACCTGAATAACAACATGTACATATCACATTTCATTCAATAAAAGCATATTAAACGTTAGTTATCCAATATTAATTGTCTATTAATTTTAGTTCTCAATAGTCAATAATAACAAGTGGGTATTAAAAAATATAAAAACGGATATCGCTCTGCTTTTATACAATGTGACATTGGTAACTAAAATAAAAATTTTTTTTTAATAAGCATTGAAAGTTGAAATTTTGATATAATACGTAAAAAGCACGAAAATTTGCAATTTATTTTGAGTTAGAAATTCATAAAAATGTTTCTTTTTAAATCTAAGATTTGAAAATTTTTAATAATCTATAATATATCCTAGACAGATAAATCGTCTTCGCTCAGAATCGTATTTCGTATACAATGATATAATATCATTGAATTCAAATTTAACCTACCYTAGTCAGAGGTCCACCCCAYCCCCAATGTACAGCAGAGCGATACCCACTTACCCGCTTTTTATGAATGAGCATTTGAATTTGAAATTTTACAACATTGGATATTCACTCAATTTCTCATGTACTCATATTCTTTTTGTTCTTTTTCAAAAAAGAATTACTGTAGAAAATTTGTATTTAAATCATATTGTACTTATATACCTAGTGCAGGGGTCTCCAACCTACGGCCCGCGGGCCGGTTCCGGCCCGCCAAGCATTTTGCACCGGCCCGCCAAGCTAATTAATGTTTTGAAAATAATATATTATTTTTCATTGTTTTTAATTTATTTTTTATTGAATTGATTAATAAAATAAAATGAATTTATAATATTTTATTTTGGTAGGTATTATTCATAACAACTTATAATAGTTATACATATACACTATAATACTAACTACACACATAGAAATTTGTAGTTAATTTAACTTTTGCATAAATTGTTGTACAACTAAAYTT